CCATACATTCTCACCCATCACTCACTTCTCCCAGGCAAACCCGCAAATGCACTGTCTTCTGCCTAGATACTTTGGGGACTATGGGAGAGATGGTTCCGCTTCCAGCCTAATAGATCCTGAAGAGGCTGACTAGGTGGGTTGTAAGAATACAAAGGCACTTAGTTAGCATTTGTCATTTTCATCACTGGGGCTTTAACCTCAATTCCAGGAAAAAAGGAGAAGTCCTCGTCAATAACTTGTTACATTTGGTATGAGAGAACAAAAACATTTATGATACTTTTCTCCATACTCCAAAAACAAACATATAATTTTTTTCTGTATTGAACTAGATTTCATCTATTATTCAATACAGTAGAGAGCTTCTGAATTTTTGGTCTAGGTGGTGGTCAGTGGGGGAGAAAGCAGCTCTCCAGGGACCCAGACTGGCCTTGGTGCTCCACTTGCACACTCTCCAACCTCTGCCTTCATTACACAGGGCTTTGAGGAGCAGGGAGAGTCCATGATGGTAGCAAAGGTTCTATGTTCAAAATCCAGCCTTCTAATTGGCTGGCAAGGTGTGTAGTTCATCACCCTTTATGGTTTCAATTTCCCTCACTTTAACCAGAACGATCTTCTCCCCACTGTTGTCTAAACACTGCCACAGGAACCCCTTGCTGTATGAAGTAACAGGACACCAGGCATTCTTCACCAGGCATGCTTCTCTTTGCTATCGACTCTGGGATTCTGGTTGAAGTTCCCTGGGTAAGCTAGATGAGAATGAGAGCTGTCTTTTACTGAGCATTCATTCAGTACCACACACCGTTCTAAGTTCTGTATTTGTATTCACTCACTGAATACTACTATCAAACTTTTACTGTAGATATGGTTGTTATTCCTATTTTACAGATGAGGACACCAAAACACAAAGAGGTTAGTACCCTTGCCTGAGGTCACACAGCCTGGAAGTTATAGAAGTTGGAACGGATCCTAGGCAATCTGGCTCTAGCGCCTGTATGCCTAACCAATATGCATGTCATGGGAATTTGAGAGTAGTAATATTGTGAAAAGACAGTATGGTTACCATAACCTCTTTTAAAAGAAAATAAGCATTCTCTCATTCAGTCAAGTTACTAAAAAGTAGGTTTGGGCTTTACTAAAATAAGTTTTAAATATCCTATTACTTTGTGAGTTTGATATTTTTGTTTTATAATTTTTGGTCCCCATCCAGTGTGCGAAAACTAAGGCACCTACCGTAATCACATTAATGAGTAGCCTTATATATCTTTTAGTCCATGTCCCCCATAAGTGAAGCTAACAGGACCAACTAAAAGAGCTGCCATGGCACATGGGTAGCTAGTGGCAGAGCTGGGATAAGACATCAGGGCTGTTTTTGCTAATTGGTTATTTAAGAGTGGCTATTTGAAAATGCTTGAAAAATACACTATACAATATACTCTATATATTTTATACAATAAAGTGGCTATTTGAAAGTTTATTGTATACCATGTGTTGGGCTCTGTATTGGGACACAGAAAATAAATCAGACACGCTTCCTCTCCTAAAGGAGTTCAGTTTAGTCAAGGGCATACACGAATGAAGTAACTGCAACATTACATGTTGAGTATTTATAATATGGATGCTGGGTGGAATGTGAAATACAGTGTACTCAACCCAACTTGTAGAATAAATTGGAAATCTTCACAGAAGCAATGTTTGAATTGGATTTTGAAGTACATTTGGTCAGGCTGGAAAAAGGGAAAGGGATGTTCAGAAGGAATATCAAGTGCAAAGATGTGGAGCACATTTAGACGACTGTAAGCACAGCATGTGAATAGGGGTCGTGGAGGTAGATAAGCATAAAGAGGTATGCAGACACGGGATGCCTAATCTAGAAAGCCATAAAACCAAAAACTAAATCCACTGCTGTCCAGTCGATCCTAACTCATGGCGACCCTATACGAGAGAGTAGAACTTCCCCCACAGGGTTTCCAAGGCTATAAATCTTTACGGAAACAGATTGTCACATCTTCCTCCTGCGGAGCTGCTGGTGGAATAGAATAGCTGACCTTTCGGTTAGCAACTGAGAGCTTTAACCACTGCGCCACCAGGGCTCCAGAGAAAGCCATAAAAGGTTTTAAATAGAGGAGTTATGTTGGAGTTGAATTTCAGAAATTTCATTCCGTCTTTCACTAGAGGCATGGGCTCTGACTCACGCTGACTACGTATCACAGAATAAAACGTTGCTCGGTCCTGCACCATCTTCATGATCATTGGTGTATTTGAGCCCACTGTTGCAGCGGTTGCATCAATCCATCTCATTGAGGGATCCCAACTGAGACTAATTAAAAATTATAGGAGTTATCATTCAGACTTGAAAGAAGGTAGTGGCAGTAGGGATGAAAAATAGTTAATTACAAATATTTTCCAAGTTTGTCTTGAGAAGAAAAAAAAAGAGATACACAAAGCAGCAGGAAAACTATAAGGTTTCATCCACAGACCGCCTGACTGGCATTGGACGCGGCATTCCTGTTAGGTGCAACCCAGTTTCCTCTGGGTCCAGAGGTCACCACCTATTTTCATGCTTACCGTCATCTACGACCTCGTTAGGTGCCGTCGAGTCGGTTCTAACTAGCAACCCTATGTACAACAGAATGAAACACTGTCCAGTCCTGCACTGTCATCACAGTTGTTGCTATGTTTGAGCCCATTGTTGCAGCCACTGTGTCAATACATTTCGTTGAGGGCCTTCCTCTTTTTTGCTGACCCTCTACCATGCATGATGTCCTTCTCCAGGGACTGGTCCCTCCTGATAACACGTCCGAAGTACATGAGACTAAGTCTCACCCTCCGTGTCGGTTAGTTTGGCATACTGCTGTGGCTTGTGTGTTGCTATGATACTGGAAACTATGCCACTGGTATTTCAAATACCAGCAGGGTCACAAATGGTGCACAGGTTTTAGTGGAGCTTCCAGACTACGACAGACCAGGAAAAAGGACCTGGCACTCTACTTCTGAAAAAACTGGCAAGTGAAAACCTTATGAATAGCAGCAGAGTATTGTCTGACCTCTAGTGATTAATCCTGTGGTTCCCGTGATCCTAGAGTGGCCAGCAAGGTCCTTCGTTCTGTTAGAAACATACCCTCTTGCGTCTCTTCTCCCGTCTTCTTCAGGCCCCACAGAACTCCGTGTCTTTGCCTAAACAGCGATGTTTGCTCATGCGTGCTGTTCCTCGTTGGAACATTTCTTAAAAAAAGCAAAACCAAAAAGCAAAAAATCTTGCCCATTTTAGCCTGACAAAATGCCACACAGGCTTATCAACTGTCAAACCTTACCAGAAGGAACTTGTCACCCCCTACTTTCCTTCCGTAGTCCTAGGAGGCAGGGATGTTTAAAGTATTAAATGCTTTAATACACTGTGCCTGTCAAGGGCCCAATAAAAGCTTTTAAGAATAATCATGTAATTCCAGTACAATGTAATAACTTGATGTGCATAATGTATTGTATTGGAATTACTTGCTTACGTGTATCTCCCATTCAACTATTTCTGCTTTGAGAGTACAATAACTACCACCATGTATGAGACTTTGCATGTACCAATAAACTCCACAACATTCTGCTGTGGTTCTTGAAATAAACGCAATTATTTTTATCTCCGTTCTCCTCTCCCCACTATCCACTGACCAGTAACAAATGATTAGAAAAACCAAGAAATTTAAAGAACCCCTGTTCCTGCTGATCAGGAATTAGCAGTTGTGTGATACCTCACCTGTAAGACCTACAGCCTTTCCCAGATATGCTATTTCTTACTAGGAACCTTAAAATCTTCACTTTCAGTTCTATGACATAAGAGTAGTTTATCTATTAGCCTTATCTTAAACTGATAGGGTTTTGGTATTTAATAACTAAAATCATCTGAAATGGGAACTCTGTACCACTATGTCCAGTAAGTTCTTAAATCGGATGTCTTTTGGTTAATCTGCTTAACGTGAAGAAAGATTACAACATGGAAGCGCTCTGAAAGAAATGTTTTTTGTGTTCACTTGAAAAATAAAGTACCAACTCAGCATTTTGTTAACATTCATTTTATAAAATACCTTAAAAGAACAGATAAAGTACTTGAGGTTAAATAATAACCAGAGTTGAAAAAGAATGAATAAAATATAAATTAATTGAACACGTAACTACTTTGCCACATCAGACAAGTTTTTAAAAGGCATTTTGAGAAACAATAGTAATTGGGAAGAAAACCCTTCACTCTATCGCTTTTTCTGCAAACTTTTCTTCAAAGCACTAGAATTCCAGGTCAACAGGCAGGACCTGTATTGTTACAACATACTGTAATTTGCTTCCAAAGCTGTCAGTTTGAGAAATTAAAAATTTAACCAGGTTAGGTAAGTCAGTGCAAATTAAAGCTTCAAGTTGAAAATCTTGGAGGAAAAATAATGTTCAAACTGTAGGAAATGCCTCTGGAACTGAAAAATAAAAAAAAATTCACAATATGAAGAAATCTTTGCAAGTGTTCTTGGTATGTGAAATACTGAGTTAACAAACAGGCCCTTTGAAGTTGCAATTAGGGATCTATTATTAAGACTATTTTCAATGTGGGTAAGAGGAAAAGAATAGGGGCGAGCTAAGGGTCATCTGTGTAGAAGGAAGTTCAAGTTAAGCACAAACACTGATTTAATTTTAGAAAATTTGGCCAGGATGTATCAGACATGAAGATTAAAAATAACCAGGTTATAAAGACTAATTTACTGGAATATCATTTAAGGTAAGTCCTTCTACACCAGAATGTGTTTTGTTGTGGGGGTGGGGGGAGGCTGTTTTGTGTTAGCCATGATTTAATTATCTGGAATATTGATTTATAAAATAATCATGTTACCAAGTGTTGAGAAATAGTAGGAATGTCTAACTTCTTGGATCACAGTGAAACAAAGTCTGGATCATTTCCAAACATTAATAGTCACTTTTATAATGAAAAAAATTTTTTTTGGTTTTTCTCAAAACTTTTTTTTTTTTAAATTCTCTAGGACCTGTGCAGCAGGTGGTGGTGGCATGTACCGCTGTAGCAATCAATTATCGGTTATTGATGACAGTGTTTGCTAGAAAGCTTCCCTCTTTCCATTCCATTTACACTGGAGTTTTTTGATTAATTCTTTAATGACAAAATTAAAGGTTACTACTGAGTACAACAGGCAGAGATATGCTGGTTTAAATTGCTAAATTTTCTTTGCAAAAGAAATTTTTTTAAACTAGAGGTTCAAATTCACTACATCTTCACTAATCTTTTATATTTTTAAATAAATTAGTTATTTTTTGAATGAGAATGTACTGCTTTTTTAACATTCTTATTTAGCATTATTCCCTAATCAATAAGGAATGTTATCACAATGTTATCACAACAAAGGGGCAACTTTTGACTTTTAGATTGTGCCTATGATCAGCAAGACATTAAAAGGCCAAAATATATACGGTCCTTTCCATGTGACACCGAAGACTGTTAAAACAAGTGAAAAATCATGATGACATGACATGGGAATTCATATGGCAACAAAGAAATTTTAAAAAGTGTAAAAATCTGCATTCAAATACATACTCACAGGAAGAACATCTAAGGCAAATTAAAAGTCCCCCTTTAGGCACATAACCAGCTGGGAATCACCTGAAGAAATTCCAACAAGAGCACAACTATGCAGGCCTGTGACTTCTCAAGCTACACCTCATCTCATGAAAGCAAATCCTTAAAGAAAGGGCACATGCCACTTTGTAAAGGAATGCGTCCAGCCCCCTCCCCAGGTCAACCTGGCTGTCTATATTAATTTCCACGGGGTCAGCTCTTTTCTCTGAACCCATGCTAGATGTTTTGGTTGTATCCTTTCCAGTCCTGTAGAGAGGCTCGCTCTGATATATGTGACAGAGAAAGGAGTGGCAGAAACATCCCAAACCCACAATTAGTCCATATTTAGAAACCCTTCTACGGGTTCATGCATTTTAAAGAGAAATGGTTTTGTCTCTCATTTTTCCACTAACTTCTCATTAGGAAAGAAGGAAAAAGCAAGTTGCATGAAAATTCAGAAGCTCTAGTTGAAACTCCTAGGCTTTGTCCATTAGATTTTTGCCATCAAAAATGTATATAAAGAATAACGAAACATTATACTGGAATCTGCTTGTGACAGTTTGTGCTTTAAAAACACAGTGCCTAATACAGATGAGCACATTACAGATGCTCAATAAATATTTGGAAATTTATTAAAAGTAATAACGCAGTTTCTGAAGAACCAACCACTGTTTTGCAAAAAAGGCAAAACTAGTTTCTTTCACCTAACTGGATGGAACAATAAATGAGAGAATCTAGAAATTAGATATGAACTCTTAATTTGATTGCAGAGAGAAAATTACTAAGACCTTTGCAAAAAACATTGCCACAGTAGCATTAGCACTTAACAGTGCATCAAAGGTTTAACATTTCCACTGCAGTATGGAATGGCTCCTGAAGCTGTTAGGAACCAGAGTGTAATCACTCAAATAGGAAATGGACTCTATTCCACTTTGGGAAAGGTGTGACCATAATTTAATCTGAAGATTATTACTATACTTCAGGGAGACAGCCTTGTTGTTCAGCATGTCCCAAAGCAACGAAGGCGTAAATAGCAGGTGACCTCATTACATGACTTCAGTACAGCGCTGCCATATGCAAGTGTATTTCTCCACATCTACAGTAGCTGCTTTCTAATACTTTAGATTTTTGCAGAGTCGTGACACCCTGGGATGACAGAGATGAGAATATGGAGGATTAAAAGTAACAAAACTTACACAAAAAAGGGAAGTGCTCTCTGTATCACTGTGAAGGGCCCTCAGAAAAGGCAGCTCATTGAAAAAAAATCCTTTATATATTCAGATTTTCCCCATCTCTTAACAGCAATGGCTTCCAAAGAAAAGACTCAGTAATGAAGGCCACACATGGTTTTTGTTTTTGCATTAGTTTGGTAAGTTTGAAAATCAGAATCGTCTTGTAAACGAGAAATGGAACTGGACCTCCGGGGGTTGGGGAGTGGGAGAGATTGAAACGAATACATGATTTAGCTGTTGATGTGGACAGCAAGGGATGTGGTGGGAAATGTCACAGCAGACCTGACCACTACGAAGGGCTCGTCAGGAACACAGTACAGGTATCCAAACAACAACACAAAAACAAAAGCAAACTGCAACTTCACCAACTTGTAAACAAGGAAAAGCATTTCACAGATTCAAAGTTCAAGGGAAGTAAACGTCTTTAAATTATTTTTGTCAGTTCAACCCTGATTTAAAAGTATGGCTAGCAAAAATTAGCAAGTGGCAGGCGTGGACATCCTGAACAAGCAGCTGTTTTCTTCCAAGAAGCTGCATTTCTCAAGTCTCTCTTCTCAAGATGCCAGATGAGGAGGAGACCTCGTCTTTCCTGAATCACATCTCATTTCTGCACTCCATTCCACACTCCTGGAATAGTCATCGATTGCTTTACATTTTGGTGTTTACAGTCTTGGCTGCTATAGATTGAGACGTGGGGAGACCGGAGGGGGGAAGGCAAATTCTCGAAGGATGCTACGGGCCACTTCGACATTATTCTGGGCTATCTCTAAGGCTCTCTTCACCTCTTCAAAGGCATAACCCTCTCCCATGAGTTTTGCAATTTTTGCATCTACATCTTCCAATGCTGCCTCAGGCCCATGGGGTTTTCTGTGGTGAATTTCCGGTGCAGTCCTGCGGGGTCGTGGTTTAGGGGGCCTGGCTGGTGCTTGTGAACCATCTGCGTAGATTTGTAAAGAGAGATCTCATTGAAGCAGTGAGATAAGAATAAAGACATTCTAACATAATACTATTACCTCATTATTACAAAAATGCTAGTATTTTCATTAGCCTTTACAAATAAGCTTTCTTCCATATTTACCTACCACTGTGGGGTAGGTAATATTATCCCCACTTTGAGGTAGAAGGTGTTGGTAGCACCACTAAGAATATTGTACCCTTTGTTTCCCAATTCCAAATTTTATCCTTCAAGCCACATGGAACGAAAGGTACAGATAAGGAGAAACAGAACTGTCTATGAAAGACTTTCACTTCTCACCATGACACTAGTTCTGCCTGATTGTTCCCCAGAAGAAATCTCAGGAGATTTCTACCTAGAAAAACCTCAACTGTTACAAACTCACAGACATTCACGGAAGAACAACCCCTGACAGGTTCTCTGTCTTACCCCATGTCTCAGCAGAAATGCTCTGAGAAATACGGGTCTCAGAAATATAGGGTCTCCTTCTCTCTGCTTTTTCAAGTTAATAATATTTTGAAGTGATGCCTTACTGATGCTATGAAAAGAAAGGAAAAAAAAAAAAAACTACAATAGCTAATGTGACTTTATTAATAGGTTGAACAGAAGTAAACTTGGTGCTCTGCTCCAACTAATTAATCCAGGTTCCGATGTAGAAGTTTTACTTGAGAAAAATCAAACCCACCAAAAACATTAGGAGTGGGGAATAATGCATTTGGGTTCCAAGTAAGTTCCCTAATGACAATAATTTTTCAAAGTAAAACAAATGACACTGGTGTCCATGAATGGAGAGTAATTTGATTAAGGGAAAAGAAAATTAATTATAGGCCACAATTCCACATAGATTCCCAGAGCACAGGCTGGCTAATTTGAGAGCGTACTTTTATAATGGATTTCCACATGTCTATACTGGCACTTAATTTCAAAAGCCTAAATTTATATGAGCTAATGTGTATATATACACAGTACATGAGCTGATGTGACCATTAAAAAGAAAGGACAATGAATTCACATGTATACTGATAACTGCTCTACTCAAATGCTATAGAACAGCAATTACTGTAAATTAAAGGAATATCAGAGAAGTGTGGAAGAGGAAAAAACACAGAATTTGTTGTCTAAATCTACAGAAAGTGGTTGTTAATCATTGTTATAGAGCAATATGTGTACTAACTGCTTAATGAGAAACTATCTGTTCTGTAGAACTTCATCTGAAGTACAAAAAAAAAAAGAAGTATCTATGTAAGATCAAACTGACAACAGCTATTCAAAAGGTTTGATGGGAAGCCTAGGGGACAGTGAGTTGAAGATAATGGTGATAGAATAA